TTCCGCTACTTTCCTCATCTCATCATCCCGCGCGCTGACCAAATGACGCTCGACGTTTAAGAGCGTATGACGCTCGTAGAGTCCACCCGCTTTGAGCGCTCACGCTGTAAATTTCATTCTATATCTTTTTTTGGTTCATTACGTAACTAAGACAGAATGAATCAACGCGTAAACGCTCAATCTTACGAACTGCTTCATTCTTAATTATGTAATAAACCAAAAAATAGAATGAAGTTTAAAGTGTAAGCGCCCAAAGCGGGTGGACCTCATGTCTACCGGGATCATACGCTCCTAAACGTCGAGTGGCATTTGGACTGCGCGCGAGGTGATGAGGTGAGAACAGTAGCGGAGGGCGGAGCCGAATCGAAAATCGACTGAGAAGTGCAAATCGTGCCGAACCCTATTATAACTAACACAAACTATCATTATTACAAATAAATTGCTAAGATGTTGCTTACACGTGCAGTAGTTTCATATATGTGCAATTACCTCATTTAAATGTTTATATTCTTATAGCTTTATAAATATTTTTTTAGTGTATATGTTACGTCAGTGAATCAGTCATTTGTGTTTATCTCTACTGTATATTTTAGAATATCTCCAGTTTTCTGCTGATTAGTTGCAAATGAAGAATAACCTTGATATAAGTTTACATAAAACAGAAATTCTTAAATAGATCAATCGCCATATGTAAGGAAGCATTATATATTTTTGGTTGGAATTTTTGAATTTCATAAATTAGAAAAATTATTTGACTTCAGCAGTATTTTTGGCATGCATTCTTTTGTTCTTTATATCACATATTATACACACATGTACTAATATATGTATGCCTATAAGGTACCTGAGTCGAATAAGGCCCAGCACTAAATAAGGCCCACTTTAAAACTTATTATTTCAAAACTCGCTTTACGCCTGCAGTATATGCTTAAAAGATGTGTCATAGGAAAATAAAAAGGGATTAGATAATTGGAATCGGTAGCAATACGTTCGTTTAACACAACAAAAATTTATGTGTATGCCATTTTTATAACAATCCGTTGCAAATTTTACCAGTAGACAATGTTTCATAATTTATTATAATTTATTATAATAATATTTAACTTCCTAACTATGGAATATAACAAATAAATCAATTTTTTGAAATGGATTCAAGTATTATACTTTTTTTAAACAATGTACTTATTAAATGAAACCCACTTATATGTGATTGTTATTATAGCTGTTATATTATTTGTTTGTTATGTGTAGAGTTTACGTAAGAGAATAACGATTTTCAATGTTGCTATCTTTTAAGAAGCCAAAATTTCATTTAAATTACTAGAAATTTCCAAAGATTAAAGAGTTAATTACAAACAATATTAAAGATAATTGCAATGTTTAAGAGTATAGTAAGTCCTAAGGAAGTTCCTTTCTATTAGTAATCATTTTAAAATTGATTTAGAAAGATAATATTTATTTTCTTTGTTATTTTTAATTTACTTTTGATTTAGGCCTTATTGTATTCATATGTGCAATATTGTCCTGTGTGCAATACGCTGTGTACAATATTGTCGTGTGTGCAATATCCTGTATGCAATATTTCTGTGTGCAAACGAAGCTGTGTAGGTAATTGATTTGTAGGCTAACGGGATTCTCCCGATATCGCAATTAAAATTAATTAATTATTAAATGAGGTGCTAGAATTTATATGTTTGTACAAAACCAGCGTGAACTTATAATCATCAATATATTTTTATTATGAAACACAACATTTATGAAAATTAATCAATTAATTTTTATATAATTTGATGCATAAAATGTAAATCACGTATAGTACATTGATATGAATATATAATTATTACATATAGCTATGGAAGTACATTCGCATATGAACGGATAAGTAAAAAAAAATTAAATTAATCAAAAATTTAATTATTTTAATAGTTTGTATATTAAGAAAAATAAAAATGCAGAATTGTAAGAAAACAATTTCAATATCTTTGTATAGTCATATACTATGTTCCTATTATATTACAAATTTAATAATTTATATAAATGTAAATGTTGAAGCTAAAAGGTATATGTTTTAAATTCTATTTGATTAATTTACACCATTTTTGTTTATTTATACAGCATTATAGTTTATAATGTTTGTAATTCTCATCGATTAAATTTTTTTTGTCAAGGAAGAGTCAGTATTTTATTAAAATTAAAAATTATTTTTTGTATTAATGTACCAAATGAAAGAAAGCCATAGGGTAGAACGGGGCTAGTTGTGACACTTTTTCTTTAAATTATTATAAATCTTCACACAATTATGATAGATTAATGGTAAATGCTTTAAAATGGTGCATGTTCATCTGGCTCAATAATTAAATACTTATAAATCCTTAATATATCTCGTAAATAAGAAAAAAATTACATTAATTACAAGAATGCAAAGAGGATCAATATGCCCCATCTATGGGGCATGTTAAGCATCCTCGAAGGATAAGTTGAGCCATGAAGATAATCGTTTAATGATGTTATATAATATATCATTAAAAACATGAAAGGATTATGTGTATATTAATCAAATTTTTATTATTTGCATCTTAAATATAATAATTTGTATAATAATATAATAATATTGTAAAATATAATAATATTCTTTCTTTTTAAATGCTTTAATTAATAAAATTAGAAAAACTAAAATCTTTACTCTTTATAATAATAATTAAACGTAAAATATATGTTTAATCGTTGACATAGAATAAAAAGCATTGATAAAGACAGATTTCATTTAAGCAGCTGAGTTTATAAGGTTAGTTATGAGGTACTGGTTCAACAAGCCGCATATCGGTGTTAACTGAAATACTTTTTCATAACTGAAAAACCGTAAATAAAATAGCAACTTAAACATTATAGTTAAAAAATATGATAATAATTTATATCTAAAAAACACATTTGATTATTATCAATCGCTCTAATTACCATGTAGACCAAAAAGAATACTCACCTAATAATTTTACTTTTGATATACAAAAACGAAAAAGCGTATTTGTCTGTTGAGCCGGACACAGATTATTGTATAATTAAGATACAATAATCTCTGTCTTTGTGCTACATTACGCAAGCATAGACGTATCTGTATATATTTTGGTTATTTAGATATTTGCATTTGACCAACTTGCCCCTATGCTCAAATAGCCCCGCTCTACCCTATAGGGGAACCTGGCGTATAATGAAACCATGGGGTATAATGGGATGTACTCGATATCTTTTTACAGATATGCTAATATGTAATGAATTGTCAGATAGTAGTTACTTTTAGATGTATCTTATTATATATTGTAATTAGTTGTCATATTATTTTTATCTAAAAATTGCTAAAAATTGTTTAATGTGTTCGCTTTACTGTCCGCGAATGAGTTACAGATTCTTTGGTATGTTCGCATAAGGTAAGCAATAACAAAATTCTATTTTTTATTGTCATAAGTACATTTATCTTATTATATAATCTTTTCTTGTTACTTTAGTAAAATCTATACAAATATATTGATTATCTGTGATATTTTATATTATCTAAAGTAAATTTATGTACTTCGAGGCATAATGGTGCATTGGTGTTATTTTATGTTTAAAATGAGTTTATGATTCATGTGCAAGTGTAGATAAAAATGATGAGAATTATTTTATTTGTGTTATCTTCTTAAACATTTTTATTTATGTTCAATATAATAACAGTATATCTTGTATAATGTATCACTCATCCTGCATAAATGACATAGTGAGGTTACGACACACTCTCACAAAACAATAATTTCGTCCTGTTAATCTATACTTTTGCAGTAAAACTTAAGTTTTCCTTATAGTAAATACTTCAAAAAATATTTTAATATATAACAAAGTTGATTTATTTATCTTTAATATGTTTAAAACTTGAAAAAATCTAACTATAACCATTATACCCCAGGTTCCCCTATATACATATATTCTTTATTGAAAATGCTGTGCAATGTAAATTTTAACATATTAATTATATTTCGGTTATTTTTCTATTCAGTATTTTGTGGATTCATCATGCCCATAGTCATGCATATGCTCACGTTCAGATTTGACAAGACATGTAGCAAAAAGGAATGCTTTTTCGCATTTTTCTGTAAGGTCTTTTGTTAGAATAAAAGAAAAATAAATTTTTAAGTATTATTTCCATATGAGATATCCGCGGGATCGCTTTTCAATATGGGACAATTTGGAATATTCTCAGGATAAAGTGTGCTGTGTGGGATCTTTATTTTTGAACACTATCGAAATAGTACTCAGAAATGCCGTAGTTGGAGGAGAGTTAAGAAGATTTAATATTATTTGTATAACATAAAATAAAACGTCAATGTAGACTTGTATAATTTTCTATTTCCAGTTAAATATATTATAGTATTCTGTTCTCTTTTTTCTTCTTTCCACCGATTTGCATTAAATACTTTTTTGCGCTCGGATCAGCAATTCGTACGATGTATATCCACGCATCCGATCTATACCGCTAAGTCGATAATTAGATATGCAGTCAATAATTTTCTCATAGGGTAAAAAGCTGGTTCAACGACTCTGATTCACTCTGTACGTGATTGAATTTGGAAATAAATAATCTTTAATTTGGTAAAAAAATCTGAAAAATTTGAGAAAACTATGAGTGGTGGGAGTATATTGTTAAACAAAAAAAAATTTTTTTTAATTTTTTTCTTCACAACTTTAAGATACTCTTGAAACTATACAACTTTTGTTTAGAAAATTTTTTCCATCTTTTATACTTCCGACGATATTTAGCTCGGAACAGAAATACTGCTTTTTTCAAAGATTTTCAAATGTTTCACTACTTAAAGAGGAGTTAGCGCCCGTATAAAAAAAATACATGTCTCCTTTTTTCTTTTTTATGTTTAACAACATATTTCATGGAAAATCAAATCGGTGTCAGACAGTTGTGAAAACGTGTCCCTTGTAAGTAAAATACAATTCTTGTATTGTACATGCAATTTTATTAAAAAGATAAGGTTAGAGTATTGTAGAATACACGTAAATATACACGTTTATTTAATATAAATTATATCGTGTTGTGTGTATGCTTTGCATGTATTAGTAACTATAAGGATAATATTTAATTTTTACATTTGATTGTGTTTATACAGTTTGTTCTATTTCTGTTTTTCCTTCTGCTTCTTCTATTTCAAGTTCTTGATGTTTTTGTTCCTTAGAAACAGATTTTATAACACATACAAGCAGGGAGAAGCTTTTCTCACATTCTTGTGTAATATTTCTCACTATAAAAATTTAATTAATATAGTTAAAAGATCAAATATATAATCATGTTTCCTATAGATACTGTATTTTAATAACAACTATAACATTTTAAAAGCATTATATTACAAAAGCAAATACATAAAACGTACATAATAAATTTTTTTGTAATTCCTTATTTCTTGGTAACTTTAGAGTAATTTATACGGTACGTCAAAGAGATAAAGTCTGTATTCTAGGAAGTGAGAATTGTAGAATTTTTTAAAATTTATTATAAACTATAAATAATGTGTCATTTGTACAATGAATTATTAGAAGAAGTATGTAATATCTCTTTCTTAACAGTAATTTTGCAACTGCATATTGAATCTCGGAAATTGTTCGATATAAAAACGCTTTCGTATGAACATTTTTGTTAAACTGAACAACCTAATAATATATATAATTCAAGATATATCTTACCTTGTTTCATGCATTTACGTGCAATTTCGTGAAAAATGACTTCTTCAAGACTACCACCATACTCTACATTTATTCTTACATGAATTTGCGCTTCTTTAATGTTTGAATTTTCCATCTAAAACATTATTAAAAAGAAATTATGAATCAAAGTAAAATATGTGAATTTATTTTAATTATTTTGAACAATTTAAGCGTTATATAAATTAAAACATATTTATTACAAATTAAGTATATTATAGCATAATATTTTTACTAACACCTTATAATATCAACTTTTATGTAATTTTGTCATTAAACATATATGTATATATATAAGCACCAATGTGTTCCATTAATTGCATTGTTACATTAAAAATTAAGTTTCGAATAATTTAAAATTTTATTATTTATTACGATATATTAATCTTGCATTGTTGAACATTATACATATAGTATAAAATATGTATAGCATATTTGAAAATACTTACTAAATCCTGTCTTTTTAAGACACACGCAATCCAGCAGCCAATTCTTCTTGTTCTTTCTTCATTTTCGATTTGGGTAGGTAAGTCAGTCATCATGTCTTGGGGTTTGTATACATCAACTAAGAAATAAAATCAATCAATGCAAAAGTCAGTTTTTTGGAAAAAAAAGTTATAGTTTAAATAAAACATTACAAGTAAGGAAAGTATTCAAATCTAAACAAAATTTGAAAATTAAACTAAGATTAATTAGAGAATTTAGATGACAATCACATGAATCTTCAATAATATGCTTCTGCAATAATATATACATAATTATAACTCTTACCCTCAGTCACATTATTTTCAATTCGGCAAGCTTCAATGTCATCCTCAATAGTTTCTATCACATTTTTGAGTTTTTTTGGTTCTATTGAGCTAGATGGCTGAAACTTATAAAATATTTGCTTCATCTATTTCATATAGTTTTTAATATATATTATTATAAATAATTTCTTTGTAGTTTATTATAATTGAAGTAGTTTATTAACAGAATACTTACAGCAATTATTAAAATACAGGCGTAAAGCACGAGACTTTTCATTTTGTGCAGATGATATCTTCACTGTAATAAGCGCAATTATTCAAAATAACTGTAATTAGATCATATATATATACTAGTTGACTCTTCGACAGATAAATACATAGGTTAAAAGAAACAAGATTATAGAAAGATCACATACAAACATTAATTATATAACATTAATAGAGACAATTTACTGTATTTACAATATTTTAATACTATCCTATGACGTAAATTGATAAGTATAAAAAACTAAATTATAAGTATATAAAAGACTGAACAAATATTGAGCAAAAAAAAAGGATTAAATCGACGATAAAAGTCTAAAATACATAACATCTTATTTTGCTTTTTTGAGAACACCCTGTATACGCGTTAAAGCCTTCTAATATCGTGTTTATATCATCGGTAATAAAAAACATCCGTGTGGGTCCTTTGAACATCCTAAGGACATCTCCAGGATGTATCCCGGATAAAGTATGCTATTAGGGAGATGTCTCCAAATTTGATGTACATACATTATACAAGCAGAGTCTGAAGGGATTAATAAACTTTTGGCATAAAAAACAATTATTAGATATATCTTTAATAATATAAGATTTGATCAGTATTCGTCACACTTTATATTGAATATCGCAAACATATGAGATAAAAAGCTTCGTGTCTTTTCTTCGAAGTCAGACTTTTCAATAACATCATTTATAATATCTCTTATGTCATAGTCATCCTCTAGAAAATAAATATTAAAAAGAAATATTTATTTTTTATTATACAGATTTTGTATACTTAAAGGAAAAGTAAAAAAATCAATTACTTTTCTAATAAATTTATTATTTAAAAAAATAAAGTTTTTAATTATTTTATGTTATTTGTATGCTTTATTATTAATAATAACAGATAATTATTTTGTTATTTGAATACTTAATAATAACAGTATCAGAAGTTTCAAAATTTTGATGGAAAACAATAGATACTTATTTAAGCATTATGTTCGTCAAAAACATATTAATTTAGAATTGATCAGAGGTAAACGAATAAAATATATTCTGTGTATTTTTATTGCTTACTATAAGTCATACCATCTTCAATAACGCAGGTATTTGTAATTTGAGTTCTGTTATTAGGCTGTGTTTTTAATTTATTCATTATAGTCAATAATTAATTTTTTAGAATAATTTTTCACATAATAATTTCTTAATATTTTAATGTAATATTTATTGTTTATAGTAGAATATATTAAAAATTGTTTTAAAATTACGAATAAAAGATTGTGTGCTTATATTTTGATTATTTTGTTTATAGAAAATAAATAACTTACAATATATGCTAAAGCGCAGATACAGAGTTCGAAGGCCTTCATTCTGTTAAGACATTCTGTTAAGACATTCTGTTTTTTTTTTCGAATAAACGTTGTTCTATGGAATCTTCGTTGCGCTATTGGAAGTCGTGTTTATATAGCAAATATATAGTGCATAGGTCAAAGATATGAAATCACAGACTATGTGTTTATAATTCTCGGATTCCATAGTCAATTTATCGTATTGATATAAACTGAGTACTGTTTGATAATGATAATAAGATCATAAAGTTCAAAGTTTGATATACATTAGATATTAAATCAAGAGACACGATAGTGTCTCGCATCCCCCCCCTCTCCCTAAGTGTAGCTAGTGCGAGACCACCCCGTGTTCTTACGCAAGCTGACGAGTTGCGAGAACCCGAGAATCATTGAGAATACTCATAAGTTGATCGATTCTGAGTAGTTCCAATGGACAACTCGGATTTAAATTATATAATTAAAGTGTTTTTATATATCTACATACCCAACAAACAAACGGAGATATGACGATGCGAAGTCCGAAATGTCAAATTTTGACATTAATATAATAAATTACTAATTAAGATACATTATTATCATCGTGGTAAGAGATCAAGCCAAGTTCGATAGTAGATTCAAGTTTTTTTTTTTTATTTCGATTAGATACCCTTACTTTCATGTAGTTTTGTTTAAAAGTAGTCATAGTGTTTCAACGAAATGTATTTTCTGTTTATAATTGGCGTAATTTAAAGATTTCATAATTTTTATAATAGTAATTTTTAAAAAAAATTACTATTATATAGGTACTTCCATAGTTTGGAAAATAGGTTTGAATAGGGAAGTCATTTTTTTCTTCAAGGAGAACATACAAGCGCGTATAATAATTTATATAATGGTTTTTTCTGAGAGGAGCACGCACACTTGGAGTCTTTTTTTCAACTCTAAGAATTTTTTCAGAAATTTTTCAGAATTTTTTAATACCGTATTTTCTCATGTTAGTAAAAATAAGAAAATGCAGTACTAAAAAATTATGAAAAAATTCTTAGAGTTCTATGAGAAGAAAATAAACAATTTTGTCTCTTGCAGTTTTTCTGTAAAATTAATAGTATTTGAGTAAAAAATTATTGAAGACTAATTTTCAACAATTTTTAGTAATTAATATCTTGTTAATTATTGCGAAAATTACAAAATGGAGGACTTTTCGACTCAGTTTAGTCCGCTCTATCTACCCATAAAATATTTGATGATTATTTTGGGACACTCGTATAATGATAATTCGATAATGGACTTCGATTCCACCTCCCCAGCTCTGAAAACAATTGTCATCTCAACTTGAAACTCCTCTGATTAACGTTTCATTATAAGGTACCATTGGATACAGAGTTCAGTCATAAAATGGAGTCCCAAAACGGGCGATTTTTTGAGTCACTTGTTATGATCGTCATATATTAAATAATTTTTGTGTAAATTCTTATGGATTATTAATAATTTTAGAGTATTATTATTTTATTTATAGAAAAGTCATAACAAATAATTTAAAATATTACTATTCTATCAGAATTTGTGTTTATTTATTAAAAAAAAAAAAATTAGTGAATTTTTAATGTATATCAAATTATAATGTAAGAAATCTTTCAAGCGATGCAAAAAAAACAGATAAAATTGAGTTAAGTTGAAATTGTCTAGCTAAACGCGGTAATAAAATTTAATATTAAAGCTGGAAACACAATGAAAAGCATAGGTAATAGCAACAGGAAATAACAAATTTTTCAATCTATATCAGAAACCATGTATACTAGAATGGACACTTTCTGATAGGTTGAAATCTCTTATTTCCTGTACCTATTGCCTGTGCTTTTCATTGTGTTTCCAGCTTAACGGATAACAAGTACTGCGGAAAAGCATTTTTCCTGAAGAGAAATTATCTTTGAACAGAGAGAAACCTGACAGAGGCCATGCCGGCCTTTTCCCTATTAACGCCGAAATCGCCCGTACACTACCGCCAGTATATTCGTTTTCAGTTTGGAAACTACGTGACTTATACATACATTTTCTGACATTATCGATAAAATCGTATCGTCGAAAGTAGATGTGGTTCGTGCCTGTACTAAATCCTCAGGCTAAAAGCGTGCCGACTATCCATAGAAGGGATAGTTTAATAGGTCCTTGAACGAAAAAAATTTAATTTCGCATCTACTACATATGTAAATAAAAATTGTTGAATTTTATTAAACGAAATTGAAACTCAAACAAGTTAATTTAGTGAATTTTAGTGTTTTATAATCAGATAGCACACGACATTAATAGAACGTATATATGAACGTTCTAAGAATATTTGTGCATTCTTAAAATGTTCTGTGAACGTCTTTAGAAGTTTGGTACTGTATGGGATATTGATCTTATAATACCTTATAAAATTATGAAGTTTTTTATGCAAATTTTCAGCCCGTTTTTACCGAACATAATTACTAGTATGTATCAAAGTCTCTATAATTACTAGCAATTATATATAGAGACTTTTAATAAATTCAAACTTTTCTAAACATGTATTGTCAATTTAAGGTATAATTTAGCAAAAACGAGCTATAAAGGCCCTCCATCCCCCGCCAATTTTATCGGCGGTCCTCTTTTCTTTGTAAGTATACTCACGAGCTACTAATAAACTTAATTACTTAGCCCGTTTATGCAGGAAAATATATTTTTAATTTATTTTTCATTTTTATGTCTAATTATTCTATTGTATTTCGCTAATGAAATTGCAATAACTTTTAATACTATTCTTTATTGTAATCTTTTATATACAATTCGATATTACAATTATAATAATTATTTAAAATACAATATACATACAATTATAAATGCTGTTCAAAATATAATAAAAATGATAATAGAAGCATAATTAATAAATTTTAGTAATGCGGGATTGTATGAAAACGTATCGAAAATACATAAGATAACATAAATGTTTCTAAACCAATGTTTAATAAAATATTGATAAACGCAGAAGAAATACTTAGATCGTATTTACTATTATTAATTTGCGAATATAAAACTTAATAATATCGCGATAAAAAGTCATTAATACATTTATAACATAACTTTCATCGTGTTCAAGATAACAATCTTAATAATTTCATCATATCAAAGTCCCTCCGCCTTGTAATACGCTGGTTAGTATCCGATACAAAGAAAGACAATCTTCATAGTGGAGAGCGGACTTAATGTATTCTGATTCTACGTCAAATTTACAAGATCCATTTGTAAAGATAAGTTAAGCAATCCGTCCAATACCAGCGGTTTTGTTGCAGGAGGATGTGAATTCCGAATCTTCCAGACCACTTACGATAGTAATAATTTTGATAGCATGTCAATTACAATTACCATTTCTATCGCGTTTTTAATTAATTTGACTGTAAAATATATAGCAACTGTCATTGACTTATTAATAAAATTATTATTTCCAGTAACGAGAAAACCCGGGATTAATTCCGATCCTGTACAAAAATCTCCGAAGAGACACCAAACTAGATTCGTGAATGGATTTCACGAAAAACGACGAGGAATAACTCTCCATAATGAAAATAATTTCGACTTTCCATCGATGTCAGAAAATGTATGTATATGCACCGACGAGATACTATTAAAGACCGTCAATCCTGGACAAATTTTCGGCGGTATAAAAATGGCCTCAAGAGCCCAGAGGTAATCGAAGAACGCTGACATTATCGACAATTGATATAAATTTGCTATTA